TAAATTATGTCAACTACTGTACATGATGTGTATTATAATGATTTTTTTCCCACAATTACAGGGATAAATTAATTAGCATGATTCAATGATTATTTAAAAGGAATTTTTAAAAAGAAGTTTTAAATCATGAACTACTCTTTGTCTAGTTTCAGTAGTACTTGGCATACAAGTTGATTCCTTATAAGTGCACTTCAGTAGAGCTACAGGTTCATGTGAGACTTTTTGGCCTGTTGCATGGGAGTTTGCTCTTGAGTGTAATATCATGCATTAAAACGATGTACAATGCGAGTTCTTGATCAATAAAGAATAATATAAAATCCTTGAAGGTTGTGTGAATAATTTGACAATATTATGTGTCATGAAAAAATATAGTGTCATTAAAGTGAGACAATTGAATTCTGGAAAGGGTGTAGAATGGGCTTCTGGATTTTGGAAATGAATATTCTCAGTCCTTGAACTAAAAAAAAAAAAATGGATCAATCTAATGTCATTTTGACCTTATCCACCCCCTTCCACACACTTTAAATTGTTTGTCCAATATTTCCTGTGATAATCTAAAAACAAAATATTCTGTCATGTAAATGCATTGATATAAGTAAAAATTTGCCCCCAACCCCAACTCCTCCCATGAATTATAAGAATCCTCACCATTTATTTCCATGAGATCAGTTCTACCAATTAAATTACTACTTCATATTTTTTCTACCCAAACTTTAAACAGATGTAGTTGCTTGGATTTTAAAAATTGACAATAAAGATATACAGTCACCATACAGTGAAAAGACCAACTCTTCACTAAGAGAATTAACCCCCCCCCCTCTCCCCATTGTTTTGTTACACATTATAATTTGTATTTTCTCAAACTTCAGGTCTCAAGACCATAAACTAAAAACATACTCAAATTACCATTTTTTATTTTTACTATTTTATGTTTTATTCAATGTATTTGCTTAAAAATGGGCAAATCAGACATGATGAAAATTTTGTTCCTTTGTCATGTTCATCAAAAATATTTCAAAAGTTACATTGGTTTGAAATTAAGTCATTGTATCTTGAAGACATTTTTGAAAACTTAACAAATTTATTTTTAATGATTTGTCATTTCTGGATTTTCGGCCAAAAATCTGATGCAAGTGAATGAAAATCGTCTGGCGCAACTGTACTGTAACAAAAATTCGCGTAGGAATTTGTCGGATTATAAAAAAATGTTTTGGTTAATCAATATTCCTGATTTAAAATTCGATATGTTTGACTTTTTACTTTAAAAAAAAATAAATAAGTGTCCAAATGGCGTAGTTCTTTCAAAAGTAATGAATAACCATTACGGGATTATTTTCCGCGCAATGTAACGCGCTGCCGGAAGTTTACAAATGTTGCTATACGTTGTGACATACTTTGTAAATAAATAAAAGGTGTGCGTTTAACATGCGTTAACAGAAACAAGACGTTGAATGAACGACACCTAGAGCAGTATTTCTCTAGGCCACCAACGTGTAATCTTAGATAAAAAATATCCTTCAAAATGACAAGAGGACGAAATAATTTTCGAGGAAGGGGAAGGGGGCGTGGCCGTGGCCGTGGTGGCGGCCGGCGTGGTCGTGGGGTTAGCAGAAGACGAATGGGGAGGGGACTTCAAACGAATCCCGACACAGAAACGAAAGCCCCAGTTGAAGTGAACTTGGAGACAAACCCACAGGGATATTTCACGTCTAATGTCACTGTGGAGCAACATTACAATGGACAGAATGAGAACCGAGTGCGGTATGCAGCGACAATGGCAGTATTACAGGAAAGCGGTGTTGAAGTAGCACAAAGTAAGTAATGGGTGAAAAAATCAGTCTATTTTTCATATGAACGTTGCCTTCATTTTTTATGTCCTTACTGCATAGGTTTTCTAAAGCATTAATTAAAATGTATAAGGGGAGGGGGCAGAAAACTTGTTGGAATTTATTACTATTTCTGATCACACTGCTAACGTTTGACATACGTTATACTAAAGACATGTTAAAGTATTTAAAACCTTGGTTGATGCCCCCACTATTTTCAAAACATATGGGATCCATAAATTAAAGGGGAAAACATTGGAAAAAGAAATATAAAAATCACTGTGATTTTTCCAAATGTGAATAATTTCTATGGTGTATCCTTTCTTGTTTTTTTTAAAAGAAGACTTGCAGTACAATATCTCTATTTAATAAAATTTTCTATTTCAGATGCCCGAATTCGAGCACTTGCCACAGCCTGGGCAAGGAAAGATTTCCAGCTGGCTGAGTCTTTCCTACAGAACAGGGAAAACTTTGGTCTCAATGAAGTCTTGAAGGCCCTACAGCTCTTGGATGCTGGACGTCAGGCCAGAGTGCTGGAAAAAAAGATGAAAATGCTGCAGGTGTCCAAAAACAAGGTCAAACCGAAAACAATGGGGAAACTCAAATCAGACATCGATAATCTTAACAGGATGAAATCACCGGTATGTAGAAACTATTAATAATATATATATACCAATCCCTCAGTTAAAGTCTGTAATTACATACATACCAATCAATAATCTTTATTTGTCATTACTTAAATTGTAAACTCAAATTACCCAAAGTTTAGCCAGTATGATAAATGATATTGGTGCTCAGGTGTTGAAACTCTTTACCAATATAAATAATCAAATGAACATTCATGAATTTTCTAACAGTATGGGTCAGCTAGTGGTGCCGTCTGCAAACACATCAGGAGGTGGGTCCAGCATTTTACTGCAAAAGAACTGGAGTTTTACGCCATTCATTTTCCCAAAGATCCCTGGAAGAAGCTAGCAGACATCTGCCACTTTCATCCACAGAAGGTATTATACCTTACTTGTATCATTTTTTCCCCATAATTTTTCTCTGTAAATGTTATAAAAGCCTATTTTATTCAAGGACACAAGATTTATTGGTAAATTTATTGTTCTTAATCTCGTCTTCTAGGATTTTCCCTCTCTGGAGTGGTTCCTTCCTTACTGCTATGGACAGGGGGCGCCACCTGAGACCACTGTGGGTCGTATGGTGACAATGACAGCAGAGAACGTGAATGAAATGTTGGAGGACCTGTCCATTCCGTATCTGTCCGTGAAATCACATAAAGATAAGCTGACCAGCGCCTCCAAAGGCCACATAGCAGACCGGGAGGACAAACTGGATACCATCCTTTGGTTAGTTCATCATTTTCAACATTTATTTTACATAATTCAAGGTTCACCAAGCATTAAGACAGCTGATATGCTAACTGATTATAATTTAAACCCTATTTTTACTGCACTTTTACTCTGATCATGATTGACAATTCATTAATGAACTTGTATAGGTGGTATGAGGAACTGGCCTGCAAGGAAGTGGACGATGCAATACAGAGGAGGTTAGAGAATGGTGACCCTGTGACCCTACCAATCGGTAAACTCCTGGAAAGACTGCTAGTATTCAAAAGGCTGTTTGATGGCAGCTCTGATGAGGACAGGAAGGCGAAGTTCTACGGAGACCTTCTGAAGATTGCTGAGGACAGGCTTAAACAAATCAAGTAGGCCACTTACTAACTATAGTAACTGTAAATGTACCGTACAAGTGGAAATTTTAGCAAGACGCAAATTTAGCGATTTCTCCTTAAACACTGGTATTTTATTTTTAGCGAAAAATAATTTTATCGATTTTAAAATGCTCACTAAAGAAGCTAGTACAAATAACACACAATTTATTTTAAGTGATATTCAATTTTAGAGTTCTCATTAGCCTCGCTAATAATGCAAAAATTAAATCCTCACTAAAATTTCAACTTATATGGTATTTGGTTTGGTATGTAGGATATTTGGAGGAAATTGCTTTCTGCAAAATGTGTTGAATAGAATACACAGCCACATGTAATATGTTCACGGTATTTACTGATTTTCAAATAAATTCAAGTATTCAAGAAAAAAAGTACATTTCGATATATATCTTATGTTCTTTTATCTTCAGGATTTTTTTACTTTTTCAAAAGAAATATATATATTTTATAGACTCCCCCTTGAGTCCCCCGTCCTGGTGATGGGTGATGCCTCCTCCTCCATGTCTGTGGCGGTGAAAACCAGTACCATCATCGCGGGAATTCTGACAGCCATTACCTCCGCTAAACTCTCCTTTTTCAACAACACTCACAAAGAGCCAGATAAAGTACCGACAAATGTCGAGGAGGTCTGTTGTTTGTACTTAGAAACTGGCAATTTTATTTCTTATAAGTTTTATTATGAAAAAATACGAGTACCGATATAAATTGTTTTTCTGCAAGTTAAGTTTTTTTGTGCAAAACATTCAAAAATTATTCAAACAAGTTATATACCAAGTCCTTTGAAAATTAATAATAGCTAGCTAGTACACTTTCATTTTCCTTTTAAATGCGTTTCATTATATGTACATCATATTAAAAATTATAACTCATTAATATCAGTATTTTTTTTTAAACTTCAGGTGTTACAGCTAGCTTTGAATACCCCTGCTTCAGGATGCACAGCTAATGCTGCCAGTTTGTATCCTTTCTATGAGCGGAAGGAGGTCTTAAAGACATTGATCATGGTCACAGATGAGGAAGAAAATACGGCATTCCAGAGTTTCAGGTGAGAATTAAGATCACAACAGTATGATGCTAAGATAAACAAATTTTAATTACTAATGTACATGTTATTAACTCTGGGTCATTTTCTGGGGATAATTGATTTGTTAGAAATAACTGAATCCTGAGAATATATCTGATACTTTGGTTTCTCTTTTTTTCAATATGACACAGTAATGGATGGTAAATAATTGTGTACCTGTAACTTTACGCCATATTTAATTTATATTCACAGATTCAAAGAGTTGTACACCAAGTACTGTGAGGAAGTTTTCCCAGCCAAGCTGGTGTTTGTGTCCTTCCTACACAGCCAGCACGCCAGGGGTCAGATGGTCACCGAGTTCAAGGCCGACGGAACGGAAGTCATGCAGTTTGTGTTCCACCGATCACAACCAGATCTGACAAAACTAGACAAGTTGTTTGGACTGCTGTCAGCAGAGACCCAGACTTTTGAGGACCAGATTAAAATGACAGAGGAACGAATTAAGACAGAGGGCGTGTCCAAGGTGTTCGAAGGACTAAAAATTAACTAAGGGCAACAACGCTCTGTCTGACGTGCAATAACGTTATGCATGGAGAGTGTTAGAGAATATTGTAGAGTATCTGGGATGTAACTATTGCTGAAAACTAGGTTTATATGAGATTTGTGATATATTGTAAATAGTACATGTACTTATTCAACTGATTATGGACTTCATTTCTGCTGTTTTATGTGACAATGAGGTTACTTTGTGATTTGTGATATATTTTAAATAGTACATGTACCGGTACTTATTTAACTGATTATGGACTTCATTTCTTTGATATGCTGTTTTTTTATGTTGTTACATGTTTTTGTATGATACTCATAATTTATGATCATGTTGAACACCTATATTAGGTCATAATATGTGTATAATTTACAATATTGTTATTTTTTTAGATATTTTAAATGAATTCGGCATAATTTGGAAAGATTATATAATTATTCATTAGTTTACAGAGTTTGTGAAATACTTGATGCCAGTTCTACACTTTCATTTTCTTCCTTTTCCATATGGCCCCAAAGAAATTAATCAACAGTTTCTCAGGCACCGCCGCAGCTGTTCAGAAACGGCCGCATTGATCAATTTTATTGACATATTGAAAAGGGAAATAACTCAATTTTCTATTTTTCCAAGTTGAAAAAGAAAATCGAGTTATTCCCCTTTTCATAAATGGTAAGATAGACGTTTTTATTAGAAAAACAATACATTCTTCCAAATTTTCAGTATTTTATTAATTAACTTATAAAATAAATGTTTGGAGTAACATTGTTTAAAGTTGAATACATATTAAAACCAATTTCAGAGAAGAAAAATTAAGAATTGACAGATATTATGATTTTATTGAACAAATGGCTTTAAAAAAGTGTTAAACCTACTTCAAAAAAAAAACAAAAAACAACAAAAAAAAAAAAACAAAAAAAAAAAGCCTGCCTGCCACATTGGATTCTGATTTTTTTGGCCTGAGAAACAATTAATTAATTTTTTTGGCCTAGAAAGGTCTTTTTATTTGACCCCTAATGCATGAAACTCCAAAACTTTATTGTACATCTTCAGCACACCTCAAATTATATTAATTAAGATGATTTTTATACATACATATTTATTGTATTATAAATTTTTAGAAAAAAAAAATTGCACAGAGTATACAAATATTATAACAATTTATTCATGGATTGTGTAAAAAAAAAAAAACACTGTAAATGCATTGGTAGCTTAAATGTTTTTTTGTCTGAAAATAAATACTCAATGTTTCTCTAATCTCACATGCATGTACTTAGTATCTAAAAGCTTCACAAATAAAGTCGAACCTCATTATCTCAAAATTGATGGGACCGTGAAAAAACTTCCAGATAACCAAGGGTTAGAAATACCGGTATTGATAGTTAGAATAATCTAACTGTGTCTCAGGACAAGCCCTCACCACAGTTAGGGTGAATTTCTTGCACATAAACTGGGTCGGGTTTTGGTTTAAGGTTTAAAACTAGTTTTTTAAACTGGTTTCAATTACAATCCGGTTTACCTCAGTAAAACAAATGAACAGTTGATACAAGATGGCGTCAAAAAGAGCAGAACATGTTACACATGCAAATAAATTTGTTAAAATCTTTTTCTTAATAAAAGAATCCAAGAAATTATAAAGTATTCATATTCTTTTATTATCTTACTTATAGTTAAAGTGTAGTATTTATATTTTTAATGCCTCAAAGATTAATCAAATGAACAATTTCCATATTTTTTACACAAGGAAAGAAACACTGGTGTTTATAATTACTCTTTAGATTTCCAATATTTAAGCTGTCTTTACAGTATGTTCTACAATTTACCATACATGTTGAAGTTTGTCCAAATGATTCAAAACTTCTTTTTGAAAAGGAATATTTAACACATTCTGTTCATCATTATTGAACAAACACCATTATTTTCAATATGCAGCATTTATCTATTCTCTGAAGCCTTATATATAAAACATCAAATATCAGAATGTGGCATTTTAGTCAAAAGAGTTGTTTGTCCTTGAAAAAACAATATTTATACTTTTTTCTTTATTAAAATAGTCACCATCTTTCATCACCGCCATATTGGAATACTTCCCGCTCTTTCATAAACCGAATAAACCACCATCGGAGGTGGTTTGGTTGGTTTAACGAACTGGTTTCAGTTACAGCAAAAACAAATGGAAATCCAGTTCTGGGTTTAAACTAGTTTAAAACCAGTTTGTGGAAC